AGATATATAAATAGATATATAAATAGATATATAAATAGATATATAAATAGAATATATAAAATAGATATATAAATAGAATATAAATAGAAAGATAGATAAAGAAAGATAAAGGCTCCACAACAGGGGTTTGCTAATCTGCCCAACTCAATACCACGTTTTACCCTCTCCGGTGGATTTCGAGAGTGATTGCAACACTGTGTGTGTGTTGTGGCTAGCAAGACCTTGCTAGTGAGGGTCACCACGACTCGTTAGTGAGTTAGAGACTTACTAACGGCGGGGGGGGGGGGGGTTATTAGGGCGTAGTTTGCGGCAGTAGTGGTGGTAGTGATAGTTGTAGTGATCACTATCGTAGCGGTGGTATTAACCACAATAATGGTAGGAAGATAAACGGCAACAACCATGCCAGGAACAACGACAACAACCACACAACAACCATGCCAGGAACAACGACAACAACCACACAACAACCATGCCAGGAACAACGACAACAACCATGCCAGGAACAACGACAACAACCATGCCAGGAACAACGACAACAACCATGCCAGGAACAACGACAACAACCATGCCAGGAACAACGACAACAACCATGCCAGGAACAACGACAACAACCATGCCAGGAACAACGACAACAACCATGCCAGGAACAACGACAACAACCATGCCAGGAACAATGACAACAACCATGCCAGGAACAACGACAACAACCATGCCAGGAACAACGACAACAACCATGCCAGGAACAACGACAACAACCATGCCAGGAACAACAACAACAACCATGCCAGGAACAACGACAACAACCACACAACAACCATGCCAGGAACAACGACAACAACCATGCCAGGAACAACGACAACAACCATGCCAGGAACAACAACAACAACCATGCCAGGAACAACAACAACAACCATGCCAGGAACAACAACAACAACCATGCCAGGAACAACAACAACAACCATGCCAGGAACAACAACAACAACCATGCCAGGAACAACAACAACAACCACACAACAACCATGCCAGGAACAACGACAACAACCATGCCAGGAACAACAACAACAACCATGCCAGGAACAACAACAACAACCATGCCAGGAACAACAACAACAACCATGCCAGGAACAACAACAACAACCATGCCAGGAACAACAACAACAACCATGCCAGGAACAACGACAACAACCATGCCAGGAACAACAACAACAACCATGCCAGGAACAACGACAACAACCATGCCAGGAACAACAACAACAACCATGCCAGGAACAACGACAACAACCATGCCAGGAACAACAACAACAACCATGCCAGGAACAACGACAACAACCACACAACAACCATGCCAGGAACAACGACAACAACCATGCCAGGAACAACAACAACAACCATGCCAGGAACAACAACAACAACCATGCCAGGAACAACAACAGCAACCATGCCAGGAACAACGACAACAACCATGCCAGGAACAACAACAACAACCATGCCAGGAACAACGACAACAACCACACAACAACCATGCCAGGAACAACGACAACAACCACACAACAACCATGCCAGGAACAACGACAACAACCATGCCAGGAACAACGACAACAACCAAACAACAACCATGCCAGGAACAACGACAACAACCATGCCAGGAACAACAACAACAACCATGCCAGGAACAACAACAACAACCATGCCAGGAACAACAACAACAACCATGCCAGGAACAACAACAACAACCATGCCAGGAACAACGACAACAACCATGCCAGGAACAACAACAACAACAACCATGCCAGGAACAACGACAACAACCATGCCAGGAACAACAACAACAACCATGCCAGGAACAACAACAACAACCATGCCAGGAACAACGACAACAACCATGCCAGGAACAACAACAACAACCACACAACAACCATGCCAGGAACAACAACAACAACCATGCCAGGAACAACGACAACAACCACACAACAACCATGCCAGGAACAACAACAACAACCATGCCAGGAACAACGACAACAACCATGCCAGGAACAACGACAACAACCATGCCAGGAACAACAACAACAACAACCATGCCAGGAACAACGACAACAACCATGCCAGGAACAACAACAACAACCATGCCAGGAACAACAACAACAACCATGCCAGGAACAACAACAACAACCATGCCAGGAACAACAACAACAACCACACAACAACCATGCCAGGAACAACAACAACAACCATGCCAGGAACAACGACAACAACCATGCCAGGAACAACGACAACAACCATGCCAGGAACAACGACAACAACCATGCCAGGAACAACAACAACAACCATGCCAGGAACAACAACAACAACCATGCCAGGAACAACGACAACAACCATGCCAGGAACAACGACAACAACCATGCCAGGAACAACGACAACAACCATGCCAGGAACAACAACAACAACCATGCCAGGAACAACGACAACAACCATGCCAGGAACAACGACAACAACCATGCCAGGAACAACGACAACAACCATGCCAGGAACAACGACAACAACCATGCCAGGAACAACAACAACAACCATGCCAGGAACAACGACAACAACCATGCCAGGAACAACAACAACAACCATGCCAGGAACAACGACAACAACCATGCCAGGAACAACGACAACAACCATGCCAGGAACAACGACAACAACCATGCCAGGAACAACGACAACAACCATGCCAGGAACAACGACAACAACCATGCCAGGAACAACGACAACAACCATGCCAGGAACAACAACAACAACCATGCCAGGAAC